TACAAACAATTAATTAAAAGGTCAAATAACGAGCAAACCAGATAGTAATGGTGTGAAGGTATGTATATATATATTGTTACAAAATTAGTGATACGTTGCAACTCTTACTAGAGTCTTTATCAGTCGCAAAAAGATAAAATAATAAAAATAAATATAAAGAAGTCAATGTAAATTATAAGCTGTCAGTCTCATGTCGCCGAGAAGATAAAAAAAATTTCGGTTAAATATTTCATACTTCAATGATAAGATGTCAAAAGTAATGTAAAAGATGGCACATCTAAAATGGGTGAAAAATATGTTTAAAAGACTAACACAAAAAACCGTAATCACAGTACAAGTTAAAGTCAAATAATCACTTACACTATCAGAAAAAGACTTTGAGACTGTAATGAGACAACGGAAAGGCAAGTATATATAATAACTGCTCCCACTTTTAAGACAAAAATGGGGAAATAAGCGTTGAGTTTAAAATCGAGAAGTTTTGATCTTGAAATTACTTGTGAATATGTGTTATCAAGCATGTCTGTGTCTGTTACAAGGTTTAAACCATGTGATGGTTTTTTTATATAAAGGATCTCAGAAATTAATCTTTTGTAGAAATTATGTTCACGATCTAGAATGGTGATATTATTCCAATTAAAAGATGGCCTGACTCTAATATATGTTTTGAGATTACAGACAATTGTGACATGTCTTTTTTGATGTTACACATATGTTCTTTAATTCTTGTTGTTATTTGCCTCTTCGTCTGTCCCACATAAGACGTACAGCAATCATTACAACAAATCTTGTAAACAACGTCTATGCTCGAATCATGAACGGTTTGATCTTTGTGTACTTTAATTAATGTGTTGAATCTATTCAGACATTTATAACCAATAATAAAGTTAGAGCCTTTAAAAGCGTGGGAGACGAATCTCGACAACTGGTTAATGAAAGGAAAAACAACAATTTTTTTATCATCCAGATGTTGAGGCACATTCTGATTAGAAAATATGTGTTTTCTTGATGAAATCACTTTATTTAATCTGAATTTAATGGAATTAAAAATGAGATCGAGCGGATAATCATTATTGATTAAGGTATTGATACAAAAAAGAATATTTTTTTCGTGGAAGTCTGGATGGGAAAGAGAGAAGGCTCTGTTGATAAGACTGTAAATCGTCCCCTTTTTATGACATAATGGATGGTTGGAGAAAAATGATAAAAATCTTCCAGAAAATGTTTTTATGGAACTAGTCGATCTTGAGAGAGAAATTCACAATATTGATGGATAGATCAAGGAAGCTGATAGAGTGATCTTCTTCAACTTCTAAGGTAAAATTTGTACGTTCATGAAATGAGTTAAAAATGATAACAATTCTGTTGACGTCATCCTTAGGAGCCGCAAGAAGAACATCATCTACATATCTGTAATAGAGAGGCAGACAAACATTAATCTTATGTAATGCTTTGTTTTCAATGTCCTGCAGAACTAAATCTGCAATCACGGAGGACAACGGTGAGTTCATAGGGGTACCATGTGTCTGCCTATAACATTGACAAAAACAAAATATGTAGAAGTAAGAATTAAAGAAATCGCATTCAAAAATTCATCAAGAGGGATGGTGGTTTTTTTATGGATATGGTTGCCATCTACTTTTTATACAATTAATGGCCAAATCAATGGGAACATTTGTGAAAAGGGAAACAACGTCCAACAAAATGAGAACATCAGAATTACCCAGTTTGACGTTCGAAAGTAAATAAATCAAAACTGCTGGAAACATAGCTCCTTGATCGAGGTATACTGTTGATAATAATCTTGTGTATGAAGATGGCAAAGGAAAACAAAGGGCTATCAACAGAGGAGACAATGATTCTGAGAGGATAATTGTCTTTATAAATTTTTGGAAGGCCATAGGCCTTTGGTAATAGCTTGTCACTAGATTTCAACAGTAAATATTGTCTTTTTTCAATGTAACCCAGACGAAGCCATCTTTTTAACAAGCTGTTAAGATCCGACTCCACTCTCCTTAGGGTTATGTGTAACAATTTAATAAGTGTTGTTATTACTCAAAAGATCGTTCATTTTTTGAGCATAGTCACATTTATTCATTGCTACCGTGGAATTGCCTTTGTCGGCGCGTGTAAAAATTAAATCAGGTTGAGACATTATGTAACGAACACTCTTTTTGAACGTATTTAACATCCCTCTTTTGATGTTAGAAAGAGAAGGTTTCTTATCAAGAAAGTTCTAAAGTCTAGGAATCACTATGTTTCTTATTTTGGCTTTAAGATCATTCTTCTGGTTTCTGAGATTAAATTTTATATTATATGAATATAAGGACATGAAGAGCCGTTCGCAGGATGTTGTGCGTGAATGTGTTTTTTTTAAATATATATATATGTACATATATATTTAGAAATAATTTTTTTCCTCCATATAGGATGCTGGATTTGCATCACATATATATGAAGGACCCCATATACCCCCGTAACTAATTTTAAAATATTGCGAAAAAAACTCCTCAGCCAGGAGTCGAATCTGAAATCTCCGGCTTTCCGGGCCGTCACTTTCCCTGTTAGGCTACCGAGGCACTTGGAGTTTGTGTCGCAATATTTTGTATATCTATCAAATTTGTTTAGATCTTTTTAATACCGCTTCTTCCTCCAGCGTAAATTCTAATAATTGGTGATAAATAGAGATTACTCTCAGGCTCATAAGTCTTTTAAAGTATATGAATATAAGGACATGAAGAGCCGTTCGCAGGATGTTGTGCGTGAATGTGCTTTTTTTTAAATATAAAAAAAAAAAAAATTATTTCTAAATATATATGTACATATATATATATTTAAAAAAAAGCACATTCACGCACAACATCCTGCGAACGGCTCTTCATGTCCTTATATTCATATACTTTAAAAGACTTATGAGCCTGAGAGTAATCTCTATTTATCACCAATTATTAGAATTTACGCTGGAGGAAGAAGCGGTATTAAAAAGATCTGAACAAATTTGATAGATATACAAAATATTGCGAGACAAACTCCAAGTGCCTCGGTAGCCTAACAGGGAAGGCGACGGCCCGGAAAGCCGGAGATTCCAGATTCGACTCCTGGCTGAGGAGTTTTTTTCGCAATATTTTAAAATTAGTTAGGGGGGTATATGGGATCCTTCATATATATGTGATGCAAATCCAGCATCCTATATAAAGGAAAAAAATTATTTCTAAATATATATGTACATATATATATATTTAAAAAAAAGCACATTTACGCATAACATCCTGCGAACGGCTCTTTATGTCCTTATATTCATATACTTTAAAAGACTTATGAGCCTGAGAGTAATTTCTATTTATCACCAATTATTAGAATTTACGCTGGAGGAAGAAGCGGTATTAAAAAGATCTGAACAAATTTGATAGATATACAAAATAGTGCGAGACAAACTCCAAGTGCCTCGGTACCCAAGCAACCAGCTGACGTTGTAATGACGTAAATATACGTGATTTTTGTCACTAATTGGTGATTATGACCTAAATCTGACGTTATTTTGAACGTCATAACAATGACGTCAGTATATACGT